GTCAAAGATGTTGATATGATTGAGTTCAGATCTGACCCAATTTTGAATTGATCTGAATCCAACCTGTTTTATAGACAAGTTAAAAAGATAAACTCGAACTAGACCCAATAGCAACCTGAATGATCCGAACCAGACTTGTTTTGGTAAAAAAAAAAACAAAAAATTTAAAGAAAAAAGATATTAAATAGATTGTTTTCGGGTCCAAAGCAGGTTCACGGGTCAAACTAAACTTAACATAAATAGTAAACATATCAAAACAATTCAACCCGAACTCCACCCGTTTATTAGACGGGTCAACTAGAACCCAATTTTTTGGGATTTAATTCAAGTCGGTTCATTTATTGACACCACCGGAACCGAATTAGCTGATCCAGTCATTTATTGGCTCCCCTAAATTTCATTCTAATACAGTTTAATATAAAAAAAGGACAAAATATGTATTAGTTTACTTATATTTTTTGATATGATTTTAGTATTAGAATACACTTCGAAATAGAGCTTTATCATACACCAACATTTGAAGTACTCATTTTTCTTTCTCTTTTCTTTCCTTTCTATTTATTTTCTTATTTTTTCATATATATATATTTTTTTCTATTTTTCAATTTTTTATTATGTAATTCGCAACACATGTTTATTAAAACTATTTGCTATTTTTTCATTATTAATTATGAATCCCATTGATTTGTTCTTCAATATCTTATAAATTGAGTTATGCTTTTTTATAACAATGATTGTAATAATAATTATTTCTATTGATTTTTATTATATAATTTCATCTCTTAAAATTCAATATTGTCTATTTAATATATTGTCAATTTTAGAGAGCTTGCATGATAAACTTATATATGTTTTTATCTAAAAGAGTTTTTCAATACAAATATAATTCTTCTTCCCAAAAGCTTAAAAAAAAAAAATATTTTACAATTTCTTATCGAATTATATATATGAAAAATGTATCTAGTAGTTAGTTATGAATCACAATTGGTAAGATAAAATCAAATTTCAAATACAAATTAAAAGCAACTGCTTAAATTTCCGTGCAAAGGAAGAACTCTACCTAAACTTTTTGACTTTGCAACCATCATTAATCTTTGCTAGTACTTGTATGATTGAGAGAAAAATAAAGGCTAATTAAATATGGCTACCAATACTGAACTAATATAGTTATATATGACTAAATGCAATGGTCTAATCTTTACTATTCATGTACGAAATAATATGTTTTATAAAATAATGAAAGTCTCCATAAAAGTTGTGCAACAATCAATTTAGGTACTAAGTGCCTTTTATAAATATATTTTATGGCAAATTTGAAAAATCTAACTCCATTTGCAGCTTTGATGTCAAATGAAGGCCAAATTATTATGCGCGGTCACCGGATGCCGCCCGGAGGCTAATTAGGACACGTCACGTCATCAATTCACAGTGAACCGTTATTTTATACTATTGTGTATCAGATGGTGTAGCACGCCCTGATTGGCATCCAGACGGTCCTGTGACCACACTAGGGGTGCAAACGAGTCGAGTCGAGCTCGAGCCAGGGGATGTTCGAGTCGAGCTTGATAATCAAAACCCGAGCTCGAGCTCGGGTTGAGTTCAAAATCCGAGCTCGAGCTCGACTCGTCGTCATATCGAGCGGCTCGTCGAGCTCGGTTGTTGAGCCCGTCGTAACATCCGTCGTCTTGAGACCTGAGTTCCGCCCTCCTCATCGCGTCCGTCGTCATCGAGCTCGTCCGTCGTCATCAAGCTCGTCAGCCGTCATCTGTCTGCCGTCGAGATTCGTCTCCCGAAGTCGTAGCATCCGCCGTCGAAAACCGACGTTCCGAGCTCGTCCGCCATCAAGCACCGCCATCGAAAACCGACGTCTCGAGCTCGTCCGCCATCGCGTCCGTCGTCATGGAGCTCGCAGTCGCGCCGCCCGTCGTCCTGAGCTTGTCTGCCGACCAGAACCAACGTCTCAAGATCCGACGAGCTTTGGATGAGCTATGCCGTCGATATCCATTGCCCTGAGCTTGCAGTCGCGTACACCCGTCATCCCCGAGCTAGCTCGTCCGCCATTGATCCGGGCGTGCACTACCGTTGTTTCGATTTCCCACCGCGATATTTGTCCATCGAGCTACTCGTCGAGCCGACGAGTCGAGTCCGACCTATGTTCGAGCTCGAGCTCGATTAGATGTCGAGCTCGAACTCGTGTTTGAGCTTGACTCGTGAGCTCGATAAGTTCGACTCGTCGAGCCTGTCATCGATCGAGTCCGAGCCGGCTCGCGAGTCAGCTTGACTCGGTTGCACCCCTAGACCACACATAATAATTTCTCCAAATGAAGAGGTTTGGAAGGCTTTACCCTTTTGAATGAAGAATAGTTATTGGAGAATAGAACCCTGACATCCACTACGACCAAGGTGCTTATAAAAAATGATATGAAAAAGAAAAATAGCCTCCCATGTTGGAGAGAGACCCAACCTTATTCCATCACCATCACCTTGATTTGCATGTGTAAAGCACCTCCAAAAAAATGCGACATAAGAACAAGAGATTAAAAAACTTATCGAGAAGATGTAAAGAATGATGACAGAGATATTTTTGAAAAGATCCAAATGTTAATGAGAGTCATCAAAAAGTTTAAACTTTTTACGAAAAAACCTATTTTTATAGTTTAGAAGTTCTTAGGTAGACTTCTTTATCAAGAGACAACACTTGATGTTGAAAATTACTTATTCACTAGCTCAAATACTAGTTTAGCCCCAATGATGTCACTACTTTATAACTACTACAAGTTAATATTTTGAATTTTTGCAATGATTTTTTTGCCTTCTTGTAATAATATTATCTTCACATATAATGGAGATAATATATGTAGGTTTTATGGGGTAAGAACATGATGTAAAGAAGAGAAAAAAAGATGAGCATTATAACGGCTAGAGATAATACTCGAGGAAGGAAGAAAGTCATTTCACAATCTTGTAAACTATTTAGGTTTTTTTTCTAGAATGATATAGTGCCTTTCAATCCCTTAAATGTCCTAACCTAACACCAACACTGTCCATATCTTTTAAACGACCATGTATACTGCAACCCTCCCATCCTTAATATCTAGTTTACTACCAATGCCCACTAATTGATTATGCGACCAACATCTCCCATTTCACACCATAACTTCTTGAAGAATCTTTATTGTTGAAGTTCGAAGTCGTCATGCTTGACCAATCCAAGTGATTGTCCTTTGAGCATTGGGTAACTTCGATGATTCCAACGCATTATTGTCGACTATAAAAAATCTATGATGTACGAGTGTTGTTCATATAGATTTTGAAATACTCCACATCAAATGGATTACATTTATTATTTTAAGTATTTTCACATCATTTGAATAAGTTGCCATTTTTTTTTTACTAAGTTTTCAATCTTAAAATGCCCAATGGAGTTGGCCCGAGCCTTCCTTATTGATCAAAATGGGGATTGTGAGTCCCTTTAGGACTAAATCTTCTTGTATACTAAAGCAAATCAAAATATTACCACATATGAGTGACCCATTGCCAAAAAATTATTGACTATCATCTTTGAAAATCTCAAAAGAGTGTTAATGGTGTATTTTATCTTTGTAGAAATGTCATATTTGCCACAGCTCAAATAAATAGGTCAATCAAATCAACCCCTACTCTAGGAGAGCATAATAATGCACTAGAGAGGAAAGCTTTTGTGATAACTTTCATGGTGGTCACTAGAGGTGTCAATATTTGACATGACCCGAAAATCCAATCCGAATACGACCAAAAAATTTTAGGTTCGGGTTAGAGATTTCGACCAGTTTGTAAAAGTGGGTCGAGTTCGGGTTGACTCGGAAACCTGAAATATACCCAGTTTGATCCGTTTTTAATTAATTTAGGAGGGTTTTAAAAGATTGTTATGAAATAAGTAAATGCTATATCAAAAAAAAAAAAAAAAATCATGTTGCCCAAACTGAATTAAGCTTGCTTAATTTTAAATTGATTGAAGTAAATCTTATTTAGATTTAAATAAATTGAATTAAATAATTTTTTTTTTATTAAAACATACCCGAAGCGAGTCGGGTTCTGGTGGACCTGGACCCGAAGCGAGTCGGGTTCTGGTCCGAAAAAACAGGTCGGGTCGAACAGTCTCGGGCTAGTTTCAAATTGGATCCGAAATCGACGTGGCCCTATTTTGATAGCCCTAGTGGCCACCACCACTAATTACACTATCTAACTAAAAAAATATTTTTGATTTAATTAATCTAATTTTTATAGTTAAAAGTTATAAAAATATTTTTTAATCAAAATAGATTATCAGATCAGATTCAAATCATTTGAGTTTTCTTAGAGTCAGACGCAGGTCCACCTTATAAAACCCAAATACAACCCGTTAACTCATTTTTACAACCTTGCCTATGGAACAATTATTACGTCCTCTGACCGAACGTAGAGCTACGTTCGGCCGCCAATAACATGTCGCCACGTGCTCTTACTCTTTACCGCGCGGCCCGATGACTTAACCCGAACTGGAACCCGGGAATGCTATGTTCACGATTTTTCTCGGTATTGCTCGGTATTTGCTCAATATTTGCTCGGTATTGCTTCGCAAAAGCGAGAAATGCTGCTCTGTGAAGGCCAATACCATGAAAATGCCGAGTTGTACCGAGTTTTTCTACAACTCGGTACAACTCGGTATTTGCTTGGGATTTGCTCGGTATTCCTAGGTATTTGCTTAGTATTGCTAGAAAAAACTCGGTACAACTCGGTATTTGCTCGGTATTGCTAGATATTTGCTCGGTATTGGTTATTGTCGAGCAAAATCGATCAATACCTAGCAATACCGAGCAATCTTGGGTCCGTTCCGGGTCGGGTTGTCGGGGCGCACGGTAAATAATGAAAATGCGTGGCGCAATTATATTGACGGCCGAACGTAAAGTTGCGTTCGTTCAACGGACCAAATAAAAGTTCTTGCCTATGACCAATATTAGCATGTAGAGAATCGACCCAACCCGGCCCCGCCCACTAATGAGTCGCATCTAAGCGGTCTACTCCCACAGAGCTAACTGCTAACTGTTCCAAAAACCCTACCCCCGCCGTCGCCACCCTCTCTCTCTCTCTTCCTCTTCCTCTCTTGTATCATGCTATCGTCGGGACGCAGACCGTCATATCTTGCCGCCGGCATGCTGCACAGCTAGTTTCTTCATTTCTCTTCTGGATACGCCATGTTTGCTTCTTCCAGAAGCCTTATCTGCCGCTTCCGCCTCATTCTACCGGGCCAATTCATTCACCGAAGCTTAAGCGCGGAGCCTCTTTTAAATGGATATGAGAGTGAGTCCGCCAGAAGTGGTCGCATCATTGAGGCCATGCCGAGGACAATGATGCCTAACTCGAAGAGAACGGGTGCGATCGCCGTCAAGTGTGGGATGACGGCGCTGTGGGACAAGTGGGGGGCGCGGGTGCCGATCACGATCCTGTGGCTGGACGATAACATTGTTTCCCAAGTGAAGACACCGGAGAAGGAGGGGATCGTCGCCCTGCAGGTTAGATTGGAGCAAAGAGAGGTTTTTATTGCTGTGGTTGCTTGAGGTGTTAATGTTTATTTTCTCCCCTCCCAGGCTTTGATGTTTGTGTCTGTTTTTTTTTTTTCCTTCTAATTATATTTTAATTGATGTTTTTGGTTGCCCTGCACTCTTACTGCTGATTCTGCAAAGCTCACTTTTGTTATTGTTGTCTTTTATGTGTTCCTTGTCTTCTACTTATTACCTACTAAGAGATAATGTGACTTGGCTCTTCTAGTTCATTCAGATTAGAATTCACGTTTCATGTAAATTATCCTTATGCTAAGCAGTTTTTTTGCCAAGCATGCCACTAGCTCATAGTGGTGTAATGACGCCTATCTTGTTGATGTTCAATTGAGCCATTTGTAAAATCTATTATGAAGTCCGCGATGTTTTACTCATAATACTCCAACCCGAGGAAGATGAGCGTGCATAAGCTGATCAACATTACGAGCAATCCAATGATAATAATGTTTTTAGTATGAGTTGGGATGTACTTTTTGCTGCCAAGTTTTTTTTTTCTTTGATATTGTCTTTGATGAAATAGTGTTTTGCTTGCTCGCGTGTGGAAGTATATTAAATTCAGAACTTGGTATGCAATTTGTTTTTGGTTTATTTTACTGATATGGTCAAGGTGTGGATTCTCAGTTTATATTATTTGTAGATTGGTGCAGGTCAGAAAAAAGAAAAACATCTTAGAAAACCTGAAGTTGGGCATTTTCGAGCTCAAGGTGTTCCTCTAAAGAGGAAACTGAGGGAGTTTCCGGTGACCGAGGATGCTCTTCTCCCTGTTGGTACTCCAATAACGGTTCGACATTTTGTGCCAGGCCAGTATGTGGATGTAACTGGGATTACTCGGGGTAAAGGTTTCCAGGTATCAAATTCTTATGATGGCTGGTATTATTTTGTGTTACTCTAATCACTCGAGCATTGACCGATTGTTTTCATCAGCATGTTGGTGTTTTTCTGTTTCACTGCCATTTCATGATATTTCTAACATTATCATTGGTGAATCATAATCCAATATTGGAGCAATTTGCATGTATCTTGGTAGTGTGTATTTTTGTTAGCACTAACTAACATCATGTTTGCACATATCTAAAGCTTTTCCTTCCATTTTACAAAATGAATGGTGAAGATGGAAAGTATCATATTTGAAATGAAAACTATGGCTGCCAACTAGTGATGAAATCAGAACAAAAGGACTTCTGTGCTCAAAACACAGGAACAAAGGAACTTTTGATAGTAATGAAGGCTTATTCGGAGCTTCTTTATTAAATTTTCTGGGAATTGTTTGCGACGTTGTGATAACATTTCAATGCAGGCCAACTCTAAAAAGTCAGCTAAGCTGCAAACTATGGTTTAGCCTTGAAAACTTTGCTAGTTTGAACCTATTTATTCACTTAGGATTGTTAACTTTAGCATAGATAATTCAAGAATTAATTAGCCATGAAATTGGTTGAAATTAGTTAGCCTTGTGTAATTTTCTTTTGTTAACATGGGCTTGAATGTGGATATTGGTTAGGAACACATGTAGATGACTTGTGAGGGCTAGGTTTGATGGAAAATAGATGTATTATTTGTTTATTTTTAAGCCAATTGCACTCTTTTGCAATATATTGTTGATCAATTATATCACTCTGGCACATTTGTAATTCCTAAACCTTTTCTCTATGGCTGAACTTTCAGATATGTCGGGGCAGTTATTTTGTCGCATTTCCACTTTGTTGATTAAATGTTTAGTATTCTACTCCTAAGAGCACCACATTCATCTTCTCTAATACAAATTTTAAGTTTTTTATTATCATCAATCTCATGAAAGTACTCAGAATGTTGAACAACTTAAAGGGCATAACTAAGCCTTCATAAAGACTTTCTATATTGATTGTGATTTTTAATGGCATGACTATCTGTGCATATTCTTTAATATGATAATATCCATCCATTTTTTTGGGGCCACCAAGCCTTTTCACATGAAATTTGTGCAAGAAAATATAAATTTTATTCAATAAATCATAAAATACAAAGTATGTCCCATTTATGCCTTTTTCAAGCCTAGACAAATTTGAAAAGCTTTAGTAGCCAATAAAATACTATTATATGGATTGATGATTTTTCATAATATAAAGGCAAAGAAATAAGAAAAAATAAAATAAAATCAAAGCTTCAAAAAACATAAAGTTTCAGATTGGCCTAACAAGGCAAGTAGAGTGCTATTGAAGTCAAACAGTTTATGAAGATTTTTCTTCATTGATTGGTATGACCCACCTATCTACCAAGGGACCTTAAATCAAGCTCTTTAATTATTATCCAATGATTTTAAAGAGATCATGGGTTGTTTATAGGCTTGCATGGAGAGTTGTGAATGATGAATGATCCAAATCTTGATGCATTGCCTTAATTTGTTGCATTGTACTTGACTTTTGTCTTGGAGTTGCATCACACTTATAAGTAGACACAATTTCATGTGTATATTGACGTATTTGTGCCCATTTAAAATTGTATATGTGATATTAGATGGTTAAATTCTAGGTCTATTAATTTTTTGTGTAATAATAAAGATTATGGCTACTTTGGGAGGAATGTCACTATCTAGTTTCTACATGTATTTTTTGCATTTGAATATTATCCTCGAGTCCCACCTTTACTCCATACTGAAAGCCCTCAACCCCAACATCACATATCCTTACAATTTACTACAACAATAACAACAACAACAACATCAAGCCTTTATCCCACTACATGGGGTTGGTTATATGAATCCTTTGTCTCCATTGTGTTCTATTAAGAGTTAAATTCTCATTTAAATTTAATAAAAAATACCATTTCTAATATTTTCTAACAAAATTTTTTAGGTATACCTCTACCTTTCTTAACATACGTCAAATCTTATACATCTACTCTCATAGTTTGGTAATCGAAAGGTGAATGTTTTAAGGCGACTCAATGTCACTATCTAGTTTCTACATGTATTTTTTGCATTTGAATATTATCCTCGAGTCCCACCTTTACTCCATACTGAAAGCCCTCAACCCCACATCACCTATCCTTACAATTTACTGCAACAATAACAACAACAACATCAAGCTTTTACCCACTACATGGGGTCGGTTATATGAATCATTTGTCTCCATTGTGTTCTATTAAGAGTCAAATTCTCATTTAAATTTAATAAAAAATATCATTTCTAATATTTTCTAACAAAAATTTTTAGGCATACCTCTACCTTTCTTAACATACGTCAAATCTTATACATCTACTCTCATAGTTTGGTCATCGAAAGGTGAATGTTTTAAGGCGACTCTTTCTAATCTTATCTGCCATTAGAGCAACTCCAACTTTTTCACTTATATACTCATTTCGCATTCTATTTCTAATAGTGAAGCCACTCATCCACCTAAGCATCATCATCTCTGTAACACTTAACTTAATTTTATGCTTCTCTTTTAATGGCCAACGTTCTGCACCATAAAACACTGCAAGTCTCACTACCATCTTATAGAATGTTCCTTTAAGTTTGAGGGGTACTTTTCTATCACTCAACAGGTCGAATGCATTCATCCACTTCAACCATCCAACTTGAATTCTACTAATAATATCCCCATTTATTTCACAATCACTTTGAACAATAAACTCGAGATATCTAAAACATGTACTCTTATTAATGGCTTGATCGCTCAAAATTACAATCCCATCACTAGAACTATTACTACTAAAATTACACTCCATATATTCAATTTTTGATCTACTCAAATAAAAACCTTTAGACTCATAGGTTGACCTCCATAATTCAAGTTTTCCTTTAACTCCTTCTCAAGTCTTATCAACAAGAAGAATATCCATACAATTTACTAAACAAAAAAATTGCCCTTTTCATTTTTTACCTTTGCGATGTTTTTTATTAGCATTTTAATGATTGATGATTACAAAATGAATCTTTAGTTTTTCTATTTTTTCACGTGCTATATTTTTTTATAGAGAGCGTGGATCAAATGTGAACCAAAATTGAGCCCAGTACATTAGTGGTTAGATTAGTTTTCAAACTTATGCTAATATGTGAGGGATAATCTATCATATTGTAACCCTAACATATAACTTATGCAATATGGAACTAAATTCTACCACTAAATGTTCCTTATACAAATCTCTACCCAAGTGAGAACTCTTTATATCAATCATCACTCTCTTTGGCACTTTTAAATGAAATTTTTTACTACAAGTAAGTATTATCAATCAAGAGCCCACATAATCACGAGATCATAGTTTCGAGATCGTGCAAAAAAAAAAAAGAAAAAAAGAAGAGAGCCCACGTAATTATGTGATGTCATCGTGTGAGGTAAATGCTCTTGAATTTCACTCGATCATAGTACAACACATCTATGAATCACTGGTGGGTGGAGCAAAGAAAGTTTCAAAGCTAATAAAGAGGAGAATGATTACAATGAAAGTAATAAAAGAGATTACAAGTGTTTTGTGTAAGTTGTGAATTCTATCTAACACTTTGATGATGGTCCATTTATATGTTTAAATAATGCATTGAAGAATTCTCTGAATGACTTTGGTTAGTGGGCGCATTTCAAGAGGAGCGAAACATTCTAGTTGGTGGAGGATGCATGCGGAAGTGTCAATTTAGGTAAGCCTTAGGTACTACATATCGAAAACTTGTTGGTTGGTGAGCTTGATGAGTAGTGATTTTGTGGATAGACAACATGGGGGGCCATTAGAAGGGACTTCAGGAATATGAAGAGGACTACTACCTAAGGATTCCATGTATTAGCCATGCACATGTGATTAAGGGGCAATGATAGTTGCTTTTGTAATATAATAATTGGCGATTAGAGCAAGCCGATTTGCTAACACTATGGAAGCAAGGCTCAAAGAGAGCGTTGATGAGTTAGTAGAAGCTAGAAGTCAAACAAAGATGGCCTTAACATCTCGAGCAGTCTCATAGATAAGAGATGAGCATCCAAGACTAATGGGTCGGATGATTGATTATGTGAGATTGATTGGCTATATGTGGTTGCGATAGCAAATGATAGGTGAGGCATGTAATTGGATTAGGAATCCATCATAACTATTGAGCGAGTTTTGGTCGAATATTTTGGGCAAGAGGAATCTTGTTAGCTTTTGGGAGACGTAGAGAATTGTGGTTGAATATGGCAAACATAGCATTATTATTTTTCTTCATTTTGAATTTTATAAAGAAATTCAAAATGAAGAATACAAACACATTTTTTACTCATCAATTTTTCATGCCTTCAATACTTGATGTATAAAATCATGAAATTTGTGTTATTTTTCCTAAATCACTTCATGACATCCTTTAAAGTTGCAGCTTGCATTATTTAAAGTAGAAATAAAAGTGCAAGTGGGTTCACGGCGGTAAAGAAAATCGTAACTATGTCCTCCCAAGGCAAAAGAAAAGCAAAAGAGGGAGGAACTGAGCTATGTAAAGCATTTCATATATAATTACAAGAAAGAGTGTAAAAGCCCAAAAGAAGCAAAAGAAGAACCACCTCGGTTGGCAAGGTGAGTTCCCAATTATGTTTGTAGTTCGTACCAGCAAGATAGACTAGTGGTCACTTCAGAGGGTGGGGACAAAACATAAAGTGGAAACTTACCATCACACACCAAGGGGACCAAATCCCCGCCAATGGTCTTGTTGGAAGTTTTCTTCCTCTTTCTGGGCAAATTGGCAATGGGTCCGAGTTGCTGAAGCTCCTTCGCATAATATTGTTTGGAGACTCGTTGTCATTGCTTTTTCGGATCTAACACTGCTAAAAATTTGCTCTTTATCCTGAACTTTGGTGGCTGAGAAAAGAGGTGAACATGGTGAAGATCTTTGAAGATCTAGATGTTACGACTTGTTTGGTG